GGTCGCAGTTTTTTATCAGCAGGCTGCGAGCATGCTGCTGTTTCTTGGCACGTCATTGGTCGAATTCACGTATACGTGAATTCGTATACGTGAATGAATAGACTATAGTCTATTCATTCGACCAAAGAGAGGCCAAAGAAGCGCCAGCAATAACTTTCTTATATGGGAAAGCCGACAGCATGCTGATAAAAAACAGCGACCGTGACAGAGCTCCGTACTCAATCCTCAGACCTCCGTGAAGTCACTTCCTCCAACATGACCGAAGTCATCGATGACCCAGAAACAACCTAATTCAACATGCCACAATCGGGCCCTCGCTTCCCGTCTCCCGGGCCGACAATGCGAGTCAAGGCTGTTCCGTGTCGACTGTCAGCCCTTCTAGTTCTGACCCGCCGGCAGAGCTGTCGCAGCCCGTACCCATTGACCTCGAACATCCGAGGCCGGGCTGGCGCAGCTCACACCAAATAAGGTCATACTCGCGCGGCGGAGGCACCCCTCTCCCGACTCCCCCCGCTCGACTCTGCAATCTACATGTATGCCCAAGTGCAGACCGCCGGCTCAAAGTGCAATGGTGCAAGCTTTGTTTGCAGTCACGACGGTGTCGATAGCACCAGGCGACCGCGTGTCACTGTCAAGTCGAGGGTCGAGACGCGAGGGGCTCAATTTGGGGCTCCAGAGGGATCCCAACAGCGCCCGACGGCGGCGGCAATGCGGTGGTGTGCTGATCTGTCTCGTGACGGCGCTCCTACCACCGGTCTGGCATCGACCCGGGGCCGGTACATTTACACAACACGGGCCAAGATACCTATAAGAAACACACGGGCCGCGGACCCGCCTGGATTTGGAAGGGTGCCCCGGGTACGAATTGGACCGGGCTCGAGTTTTGGGCCTAGCGGATGTGGTGTGGGATGGGGTGGGTCTAAGGGGGCGTTGGATGCAACTGCTGCCAGGGGCGGATCCAGGAAAACTCCAAGGGGAGGGTCATGAATCGAAGTGGTGCCCCTACCTATACCCAAAATTAAAAACTCAACGGATTTCGTCCACTTCATTTTGGTGGTGCCCCCATTTTCAGTTTTTTATTTTTATTTTTTATTTTTAGTCAGTATCTTACCTCTTAGCCACAAACCACATTTACCAATTGTAAGCAAGTATATATGAATGTGCTATGTATATATGTTGTGGAGTGTGGACGCTGAGTAATGAGTACTTACCAGGAACGTTATCAGGTAAGCAAATCGTTGTCAGTCCGACGAACTTGACCCTGGCGTGACGGCGTCTAAAGGGTCTGTCCTTGACACTTCAGGCTTGTCAGGGGCACCAAAGTCCTTCCAGGGACACCACTAACCTGTCAGGGGCACCTACGGCCTTGTAGGGGCGCCACAGGCCCGCCAGGGGCACCACAGGCCTGCCAGGAAGCAGGGGCACCACAGGTCTAGCAAGTATACACGACAGGCCTGTCAGGGGCACAACGGGCCTGTTGGGCCCATGAGCACCCCTAGGGGCAGGGGCACCACAGTCCTTCCAGGGGCACCGCAGGCCTGTGAGGGGCACCAGCGGCCTAGCAGGGGCACCAGTCAACACAGGCCTGCCAGGGGCACCACAGACCTGCCAGGGGCACCAGAGGCCTGCCAGAAGCACCACCGACCTCGCAGGGGTAACCTGGGACTGTCAGGGCCCAGGGGCACCACGGGCCTGTCGAGAGGCACTTCAGGCTTTTCAGGGGCACCATAGTCCTCTCAGGGCGCAGGGGTAGCAGGGGCACCAGAGGCCTGCCAGGGGCACTACAGGCCTAGCAAGGGCACCACTGGTCTATCAGGGGCACCACGAGCCTGTCATAGCCAGGCATCTCAGGCTTGTCAAGGCCCAGCGGCACCACAGGTCTGTGAGGGGCACCAGCGACCTAGCAGGGGCACCAGTCAACACAGGTCTGCCAGGGGCACCACAGACCTGCCAGGGGCACCAGAGGCCTGCCAGGGGCACCACCGGCCTCGCAGGGGCACCTTGGGCCTGTCAGGGGCACGACGGGCCTGCCGAGGGGCACTTCAGACTTTTCAGGGGCACCAGTCCTCTCCGGGCGCAGGGGCACCAGAGGCCTGCCAGGGGCACCAGCGGCCTAGCAAGGGCACCAGAGGCCTGCCAGGGGCACCAGCGGCCTAGCAAGGGCACCAGAGGCCTGCCAGGGGCACCAGCGGCCTAGCAAGGGCACCAGAGGCCTGCCAGGGGCACCACAGGCCTAACAAGGGCACCACGGGCCTGTCAGGGGCACCTCAGGCTTGTCAGGGCCCAGGGACACCACAGTCCTTCCAAGGGCACCGCAAGCCTGTCAGGGGCACCAGAGGCCTGCCAGGGGCACCACAGGCCTAGCAAGGGCACCTCTGGCCTGTCAGGGGCACCTCAGGCTTGTCAGGGCCCAGGGGCACCACAGTCCTTCCAGGGGCATTACAAGCCTGTCAGGGGCACCAGAGGCCTAGCAAGGGCACCACAGGCCTGCCATGGACACCACAGGCCTGCCATGGACACCACAGGCCTGCCAGGGGCACCACCGGCCTTGCAGGGGCGCCTCAGGCCTGTCAGGGGCACCACGTGCCTGCAGGGGACACTTCAGGCTTGTCAGGGGCGTTACAGTCCTGTCAGGGCCCAGGGGCACCAGGCCCGTGGTGTCCCTGCTAGGCCTGTGGTGCCCCTGGCGGTCCTGTGGTGCCCCTGTCAGGACTGTGATACCCCTGATAGGCCGGTGGTGTCCCTGGAAGGTCTTTGGGCCCCCGGGCCTCAAGGGGGGGGGGCATGACCCATGTGACCCCCCCCCCCTTGGATCCGCCCCTGACTGCTGCGCATTTTTAGCCGGCGCTAACATGGGCGAACTCGCTGACCCGACCGGTGACTTTAAATAGCTACCTGGGGCTACCGTCCAGGGTATTTTGAGGACAATTAAGGGTCTCATTTCTCAGAAATTGCATGCAATAAAGTGTCAACCTCCACATAGAACGACTACCGGGTCTTTCACGTCTCGCGACTCCAAATAGTCGATGGGACTGGGGACACATTCGACAATGCCTTGCGGACACCGTATTGCGCCACAAGACGAACAGGCTGCTCCATACTTTGAACAAAGATTCTTACAGACATCTCGCACTACAGCCAAAATATAAACGATCGACACGCATGACGCAACATCATCTATTGCTCCTCATTGGCGCCGTTCGTTCCACTATTTCCGCTTTCCAGTAGGTAGACGCATGTACGTCGATACGGGACCGCCTGTAAGAAGACCTACTCCACTTATCACGAACACGGAACACTTTATCACTCATCACGTAAACGATACATCACATAAACGACATAAACATAGTGACCTGAGCTATTGAACGTTCGTTTATGCGATTAAACGGAACAAAGGCTTCACTGCAGAGTGCAGAGTGCAGTGTACGCATTGGCAATATTTCGCTGATTCAGCGATACGTGCTGAGCCCATCGCACCATCAGCCAGGCCTATGGCCATCGTTATAACGGAGAGTACATTACAATTTATAGCATGTCATCATCATCCCCTATACCGTGTTTCTACTCACTTTACACAATACACAACCCCAAATGCCTGCGAAAGTAAAGTATAACGGCATCGGCATACTGACAATTGACCGGACAACCAAAGGTAAACACCAAAGGTAAAATGTTGACTATTTCAACATTTTGGAAACTGCCAACGGCTATCTCGGGAACCGATAGAGCTACAGCGCCGCGGAAAAGCGCATTCGATAGCCCTTTTACAGACCTTTCTGGGTAATGTTCTCAGATTTGACCTCAGGTCAACGGTTTAGCCTCCAGAGGGCAAAAACTCCAAAAATAGCCGTTTTTACGAAAAACGTTTTTTCGTCAATAACTTTTGACTCATAAGCGCCATGACATTACTTTTGCCAGCATCGTGTTCCTCTCGTCGAGACGCGTCGAATGAACTATTTGTTGACCTTGAAAGGTCATTTTGAAAATTTGACCTCAGGTCAAGGTCATGGCCTGACCGAAAAGGGTCATGTTGCATATCAGTCGATCCGTATCGTCGAGCTGAACACATCTGACGTGTTTTCACCGCTCTAGCACGTCTCTATCAAAAGCTATAGCCAAAAAACTGCTGGCGACCGTTCATAACCTGAGATGACCTCAGGGGCACACAGAGGGGTCACAGGTGCATTTTTCCTATTCAGTGTGTCATGTTTACCTATGAACCGATGTTTGAGAGCGTTTTGAACGATATTCGTCCAAAAGAGGCGCATTTCAATTTTCTCCCATTGACTTATAATGGAGAGGTCGCAAAATTGACCTGACCTTAGGTCACAGATATCAAAAATCCGAGATATACATTTTATACATACTGTTACTCATATCAATCGCTGAAAGTTTCAAAGTGATCGTTCAGTCGGTGTAGCTATAGCGAGCCTTTGAACTTTTTCTGAGGTAAGGTCACTTGACGTGACCTGGTGACCTGACCTTGAACGGCCTAGATCTGAAATTTTCACAACATGTGCGGAAATGATGTAGGAACACGTGTACCAAAAACGGCGGCGCTGCGCGCCGCCGTTTTTGAGATATTCGCGAAAAACCTGAGGGGGGGGGGGGCGTAAAAACGCCCCCCCCCCTAGCACGGCGCGGGTTAAAATGCCAAAATCAAAGGGGGGTCCGGTGCCCCGGTGCCCTCCCCGTTCCGCCGCCTATGGATCTGATAGCTTCAATGAAGGATTTAACCGGCATTTCATATCGCTGTTCCTTCTTCCAATCTGTCTCAGCCATACCGCTTTCATTCTATCTTCATCAGCGTATCATATAAATTATAAATTCCATCATATAATAACTCCTGTCATTACTTCTATATAGACATCGACTTACTTCCACTCAGTTGCATCTGAAAAGAGCCAGACCGTACGGTCTGGCTGTTTTCACGAGACGGGCACGAGACGTCTCGTGCCCGTCCATTTAGGTTGGTCTTTGTTCGTTCCGCTTGGTTAGAATTATCGGCTGCAAGACCTTTCATCATTTTCCTCCATTCGTTCAACGTCTTCCTGATTTCTGTGCTCGTGCTTCTCTTTCTCAGTCTCCTCTGCAAGGCACTCCACACATTTCGTCTGCTCCGTCTCTTCAGTCTCTTCTGCATCCGCATTCCATTCTTTGGCGCCGCCGTGCCTTTCTCCCTCTGGTAGCTTTCCCTCATCTTGGCTTCTTTGCTTGGCTTCGTCTTTTTCGAGCACCGGCAGCTTATCGTCTTCTCGCGTCACGTTCACAATACTTTTCTCCTTTTCTGTTGCCAGCTGCGACATTTGCGTCACATCCACCGGTTTCGCCGCCGACTTTTCCGCTTCGCCGGAGGTTCTCGCTGCTGATGTCGCTTGTCGTCGTGATCGCGCCACAAACGTCTCTCTGAAGCCTCTACGGAACGTCTCGTTCGTCGCCCAGTAGACGATCGGGTTTACTGCAGCATTGGCGTACATCAGGTAGTGCGCAGCGTACCAGAGAGCTCGAAACGAGTCGGTCACCGCGTCTGCTTCGTCAGGAAGTCTGTAGCGTTTCACGATGACAGCCGCAAAGGGCGTCCAGCATAGGAGGTACACAGCAGAAGCCACACAGAGCATAATTCCCACTCGATCCCGTCCCCGCGTGGCGGCGGGCGCGCCAGAGCCACGCCGTGTGGCGCGTCGAGCCGTCATCTCCAACCTGACAAAGATGACGGCGTAGCTGGCGAGGATGGCGACTAGCGGAAGCCAGACGAGCAGAGCGCCCAACACCAGCCAGTAAAGACCGAGAAGTTCTTGGTTCTCGGTGCAGTACTTCTCGGTGAAGTTACGCCACTGTCGTTCGCGGTAATGACGCCAGCGGAGCAGCGGGGTAGCCAGAATCGCCGCCACGAGCCAGATGAGGATGGCCAGACGGATGGCTGCTGTGGGCGTGAGACGGGCTTGAATGACACTAGCAGGAGCGGCGATCGAAATCAGCCGCAGAAGACTCACTGCCACTAGTGTCAGCGCGCCGGCGAGAGTCAACAACAGCATCAGGAAACCCTCCAGCTTGCACATGACCGGTCCGAGGACCCAGTTCTGGAAGAAATCCTCGACCATCGTCAGCGAGGGTAACACGGAGGCGACGAAGAGATCCGAGACGGCCATGCTCGCCAGAAGAAGATTAACTGGAGTTCGCATCGTCTTCCTCCGACACACCAAGAAGAGGACGGCACCGTTTCCGATGAGGCCAAGCAGCATGATGGGGATGAAGGTGGCCACTTTGACGGCTATTTGGGAGGCCGGACGCACGTCCCAGATCTCGCGCGGGAAGTCGTACTTCCAGAACGGGAAGTCGGTGGAGTCGGAGGTCTTGGGGAAGGAGATGTGCCACTGCAGGTTGGCACTCGTGCCCTGGATGGAGCTTGAGGTCATGCTGAGCCTGGAGTGAAGCTTTTGGCTGCTGCCTCTGATCAAGATGCACTTCTGACGCAGAGTTTATTCGCTGCTGAGCTGAACTCGTCTTGTTGTCAGAAGAACTTCATTTCAAGTGAACCGAGTGATGATTCTTCAGATGCTTCACTCGCGGAATGCGAATGTAACTAGCGCACTTTCGCACCTTCAAAGACGAAGAGGAAGGTACCGGACTCCAGATGCCTCACTGATGCTCTGTGACAACTCCCCGTGACCAGCGCTGACCCCTGTCGCTCTGTGCCTCCCTCCCGCTCTTGCAGCTCCGTTTTGCCCGGGACGCAGGGCGCCGGCGCGCCCAGTCCCTTCCCCATCTGTCCGACACAATCCCCCAGGGGCGGTCCCAGGCGCCACGAGCTCACTCGAACAAGGAGAGGGGGCCTAGGATAAGAGTGGAAGCACATGTCTTGCACATGTCTTGATGGAACAAGACATGCCCTGGCGACTCCGTGCAATATCGACATTCAACTTTGGTAACGAGTAGCAGTGCCGAGAATGCGGTAGCTATCTGGTTCGAAAGTCCACTCATTTCGTTGAGCTGAGAAAGCAGTGAGCAACTCATCTGTAACTCAACTATGAGCAGCTGCTTGGAGTTCACTTATTGCATCATAATATCGACCTCTGACTGCCTTTCCAACATCAGACTCTATCCCTGAGTACGCCTGTGGCTATCTGTGACGCACAAAAGGCTAGTGGATTGGCACAAGAAAGATCGAAAGTGCGCTGTGGTCAACAATGCCCGACGCATCAATCAGACATGGTCAAACAACGATAAATCTAGTGTAACCATATGCTCATTTTGCCATATTGGAGGAGGGCAAATACGGGGATTGCGCCATTATTGGGTAATGACGCCGACAAAGATAGTGATTTACGACAATTGGGACCTGTGATTCAGTGATAGTCCAGGGACGGGAGAGGCGGGCACCACGCTGATATGTAGGTATGTACTCGGTGACAGGTCCACGATAGGTGACTGGACGGAGCATCTTGCATTCAGAAAAGAAATTGAAGTTGGAAGCATGAGAGCTGGCAGTGAGCAGTGGCCAGTGAGCACGTCACGTGCTTTTCAAGGTCCGACTCCGATCGAATACGGATGGTGTGATGACCACCCGATGATCACCCGGTGATCATTTTCCACAATTTCGAATTTTCTGTCATTGCGGTCTGTCTAGGAACGAATCCGGGCTGAGAAATGGGATGTCAACCCCCACCCCAACTCCATCCCTAAGTCTCAACCATTCACAACCACTCAACGTCGAGCAAACACTCGATAGAGATGGCTCGAGAACCCCCCTGCAAATCTCCTCCCCCCGAACAAGACACCTGACTTGAAATGACAACCCAACACCCATCGGCCGACAAACCGCGAACTGTGATTGGCCGACGTGTGCCGGCCGCTGATGTGCCATCCGCTGATTGGTTGTTTACATTGGAGCAGCGATGTGCTCGACTAGCCAGCGATGTGGGGTCAGGGGTTATCAGGGCCTGCGGTCATTCAGCTGGGGAGTGTGGGGGGGATCCGGCCGACGATAGGCCCGAATTAGCCCGTGATATTGCAGCACAGACGTCTGTGGTATAATACGCGAGAGGGATGGCGTTACATAAAGCGAAGGGAGCAGGTTTGCCAAGTTATGTAACGAGTGAGCAAGCTGAGACGTAATTTGACAGAATAAATGTAACAGATTCGATGTTCGACAATGACATGCCGGACAAAACATGGCCTCGGTATCACTTGAAACGTAGCGTGCAATAAAACTACAATACCAGCTTGTGCTCAAAACTTGGGACACGTAGCTACCCACCCCCCAGGACGCTCGTAACCATTTCTTGTCAGCGACATTGGTCATGCATGAGTCATGCCTCTAAATGATTCATGGACCTAATTCCGGAGCCAGCGTGATAGCAACTGAGCTAGGGACTGTCTGCACCAACTTAAATTTCCAGATGGTTCTCTAAAAAAATCCATTGAACGTCGTACAGCGTACGCAGTTACGCACATAATGTATTCGATATTCATCAGACATGGTAACGCGTGACAGGAAACTGCATAAATCCCTACGTCACAGTAATTCAGTGCACAATTATAACACACACACACACTCAACTGTAAGCTCGGCACTATGAAATGGACCAATCGGACCGTTAACAACACTGGACAAGAGGAAAAAGTACAACGTTACGCTCACAATGTAATGTCGTCCTGTTTTGGGCTGAAGTTGGAAAATTCGTTGCAAATGAGGCAAAAGAAGACAGTATAAACGAGTATCCTGATTTGTGCGATGAAAAAGAGTGATGACTTAAAGGCACATGTAATGGTATGTGTGATGACATAAATAAATAAAGGCGATCCCTCCCGTCATGCTTGCATTTGCCAGCAAATAATTCCCTAAGAATTCCGAACACACCAACAAACTTCGACCATAAAACACTGGTAAAATCCCAAATTGACTAAGCAAAACAGTATTTAGATTATTACAACAAGACCATGCCTGCCAACAAACTTTAAACACCAACTCCTGACCACTACCTTTTCCCCGATAAAATTGCACTAACGAACTTAGAGTGAAATACAACTTGTACCCCGAACCGGAGGGTTACCTACGGGCCCGACATCGTAATAACATGAGAAAAACCGACGCCTGGGCGGCCTAGGTGCGGCTGCGAAGCACAGGGTTCCGGGCACATACGGAGTGTGATCGGGCACAAGGTCATATTGGGAGGAAGGGGAACGACCTGGGTGGAAGGGAGGGAGAGAGGAAGCTGGGAGGCAGGGAGTGAGGGAGGGGAGGGAGGGAAGAAAGGGAAGGGAGGGAGGGAGTTGCTGCAAGCCGGGAGGAGCATCAATGACGGCGAAAAAAGAAAACGGTTGCACTTGCCCGGGCGATCGACAGCAGGAGCTTCTAGAAGAAATGCCGTATCAGTCTGCTGACCAGCCGCACCCAGCGCGGCACGAAGCGGTCGGGGCGCGCGAAAGTGCTGCCATCTACCGGCTGTGAGTGACAGTAAAGCTTGCGCCGCTCGTCCGCCAGGGCGTGCCTCAGGGCGGCGTTTTTCGTAACGACCACGACCTGAGACTCGAGGTCGCGGTAGGAGGACCGGTAACCTGGGGACGGAGGAACACCGGTCAGAAGCTCAGAAAACATAAACTCGTCAGTAACATCAACAAAAGGCAGCAACACCAAATGCATGACACGTTATCAAGTGATCGGCAATTTAAATACGCAAAAAAATGTTCCTCCCTAAACTATTCCAAATTCACTCTGGAAATGGCTGAACTGCTCTCCCCCCACCGTACTCTCTCAATCCCTTCTCTCTCCCTCTCTCTTTCTCTCCCATCCCTTCCTCCATTCCTCTCCCTTCCCTTCCTCCCTCTCCCCAGTCCCCACGTACCCAGATTTGACGATCCGATCACGGTAGCCGAGGGCAGGCCGGTCTCCCCGGCGGCGTGGCTCCACACGCCCTTACTGTGGAAGGTCCAGCCGGGACGGCGGTACTCGTGGAGAGTGACGCTGCTGTCGGTCGGCAGCGCCGCGTGGAACCGATGCAGGAGGTAGGTGTACGCCGCCGGGATGTAGCCCGATACGTCACCGGCGCGCAGAAATCCGTTCGCCTGGGGATAGAGTGGTGAGGGAGGGTGTGATCATACGGCCACGTACTTCAACGGCAATTGGCTGAGCATTATCGTTTTTTTATTGAGACAAGCCGTTCCAAGTGCCGTAAAAAACTTGCCTCTGATACCCTAAAGAAGGTCCTCATCAGACAGGCAAAAACACGATCTATCATTTGATATCTCTAATAAAAACCTGAATGAAGACCTTAAGACCTGCTTCTTTTCGACATCAATGTTTACGGTGTATGTTTACGGCGTAAGAGCCTGAACATTTGGTAAACACCTTTTGTCATTTGGTACCTGTTCAAAACCTCACGCTAAAACTCAGTGTTTCCTCTGGCAGATATCCACCCACCTTTCCAAGCACCGCACTTACCTCCGGATGGGCACACAGCACGGAGACGGGTCGAGGCTGGCCGGCAGACAGTTCAGCCATGTTGGCGTCCGTCAGGTTAAAGTAGCCCGTCGCCAGGTGGACGTCGCCCTTCAGAAGGTCGGCCCGCAGCAGACGACGGGTCACCCTGAGGTCATAAACCACGGATAGAGGTTAGCCAAATGTAAGAAAAATTGAGTTGTAAGGAGGCAGGGGTCACTTTGAGATCACAAGTCCGGGTAAGAGGTCAATAAGAAGTTGTAATAGTTAATACGGCTAAAATTCGGATTGAAACAACTGAACAATGCCCTAAGGAGTCACCCATTGAGCCTCGTGGATAAATCAGACACCAGTTTAACTGAACTCAAAGGTCAGGATCATATAATACGCTGGAATCCCCGGTCAAAGGTCGACGGGCATCTGTTTCAAGGAACTATAAGCTCTCGGTGAAATTCCACATCCTCTCCCATGTCGTACCGCGTCTTAAGTTCTGGAATTTATCCCCATCTAACCTCTCCCTACCTCAACCCTTCTCTCCTCTCTCACCGTTCATCCAAATCGATCCCCACGGGCGCCAGGTTCACCGTCGGCAGGACCCACGTATCGGCCGCGGCGGGTGGCGGCGGGGGCGACCGGCGCCACCCGGCCAGAACGGCCTCCAGCTCGGCGCGAGCCAGCTCACAGAACTTAGACAGGTCGCCCTGGTACGGGTGTACCGACCATGACGGACTCAGCTGGGGCGAACGAAAAGAAAGAGGAACAACGTGATGTCACGAGTCGTTGAAGTTGTTTACGAGTTATTGTCGGCACTACGTTTTTCCTAAAGTTTCCGCTTAGATCGAAGAAATCACAACAAGTAGGACATACGAGTACACATAGGCCCATCCACACGATCAGAGAAGTTAATATCTTCATCTCGCGAAAGACATCGATTTATATTAAAATTAGGAACAAATAAATGCCAGGTAATCCTTTCATTTTCATACAATGCGTAATTTTTACCATAAATTAATATAAAAGAACAAGTAGCTACCAGCTACATCGGTACACATCCCCAAATTCACTCAATTATCCTCAATTATTCACATCAAACAATTTCCAAAATTCTGCCCTCGCCGGGATTCGAGCCCACCTTCAGCTGGTCGTCGGCGGTGAGTTGCAGGCTGAACCGGCTCACGGCAGCCACCAGCTGAGTATAGAACTCCGCCAGGTGGGCGGCGCCTCGGAACACCATGTACCGGTCCTGACGCTGCGTGAAGTAGTCGTCATTCAGGTTCGCCCTGCAAACATAGACAAAAACTCAACAAAACGGGAATTGGATGATGAATAATGGTGATTTTGTATCACGAAACGACGATTTAATAAGTATGTGAAGTCGATCGAAAAATGAACGAAAAATTAATACTGTAGAGAGCTTTATGTAGGTCACTACAACGTTGTGAATCTTCTAACAGTTCAGCCCAAGAGAAATCCTTCAAGCTAAAGAGAACGGAAACGATCGTTAGGACAAAACGATAATACCGTAGCACGCGAGATCCGGTCTTCCGCCGCTGGTGCCACCAGTCATGACCCACCCGCTGATGACGAGGTCGTCATCGAAGATGTAGACCTTCATGTGCTGCAGTCCGATCACCTCGTTCCAGCGGTCCGGCAGCAGCCACTTGATGAAAGAGCGCAGCGTCGGCGTGTGATACAGTGACACCTGGCGGCCGAGAGGGGAACTACGAGATCGGTATGTTTTTAGAGCCTCGGGTGTTTGACAACGGGAGCCGGGAGAAAAGGAG